TCTGAGTTTTAGGATAGATTATTTAGTCCACTGTATTATCAAAAAACACTTGTACTTTTAAAAACAGCCTGGTATTTTATAACACAACGTCTGAATTTCTGTTGTAAAATGGTCCTTATATTTTATAGAAGACATTCTACCAGTTATCACTATTGCTGCTGCTAGCACCATCCTCACTACAATTTCTTAGCAATTATTAAGTATATGCTGTGTGTCAAATATACCAAACTGAGTTTTCATGTATTTTGTTTCCTTCTCTTAGATAGAAAAGGAATTATCTCTATTCTATAGATTAAGAAACTGAGGCCAAGAGGAGCTTGCCCAAGATCCTATAACAGAGTAGAGTTTTTAACTTTGCTTTGTTTGACTTTAAAACCTCTGTTCTTATTATTAACACTTTTCTGGATACTTACACCTGGGATTTTTAACACATGCTGGGAAAAAAGTTTATTCCTTAAATACTTAATAAAAGCCACATATCTTGGTCTATCTTCTGTATGTTTGCACATTTAATACAAAAGCACATATTGCATTGTTACTTTGAAAATAAGTAGAATCAAAGTGAAATCATTGTGCAAAAAAAGTTTATAAATTGTCAGAAAACTAGTATTTGGGACTCCCAACTGTCATAAGTCTTTAACCTTTACCCTAATTTTCCTGTAGATTTTTAAATGAGTTTTTAACAAAATATCTAACATACTATTCATACAGAAGTTTCCCAAACTTTGAAAATTTATTTAGTTTCAAATAGTTGTTACTTTCCCTGCCATATAATAGACACTGTTGGTGCTAAGTGAATTAACTTGGCCTAATACTCTTATGAAGCTTATACTTTAATTTAGAGAGGAAATATATGCATAATGAAGTAAATAAATAAAATAATTATAGATAGTGTGTGCTATCAGGATAAACCTTGTTAGATAAGGTGATCTGGGGAGGCCTTTGTATAGTTGATATTTAAGCTGAAAATAAAGGATTGAGAAGAAGCCAGTTACTCGCACAGCTGGAGGAAGAGCTTGTTGAAAAGGAACAGCGAATAATACCAAGACCCTGAGATAAGAAGGGACTTGGCATAGTGCAGGCACAAAGTGGAAGTCAGCAAACAAAGGGGAAAGTGGAATGAGATGAGATGGGTAGAGAGGCAGAAGCCAGGTTAGTCAGGGCCTTGCTAGGTAAACTATAGGAAGGCCATTCGAGGGTTTAAATAAGGGAGTGAAATAATGGGATTTAAAGAGCACTTTGATTGCTAATGGAGAAGAAATTGAAGGGTGCAAATGCATAAGCTGGGAGACCACTTAGGAAGCTGTTGCAATAGTCTCGGCTAGGGATGATGGTGGTTTAGACGAGGTGGCCATGGAGACGAAGAAAAGGATATGGATTCAAGGTGTTTTTTTTTTTTTTATGGTGAACTGATGGGATTAGCATGCTGATGAGTTGGAAAGGGGCAGATGATTAAGGGAAAGAAAACAGAAAGTGTTAACTTAGTTTTCTGACTGTAGTGATTGAGTAAAAGATGGTGCCATTGACAGTGAGGGGAAAACTGGGGAAAACCAGATTTGGGGGATGGAAATTCAGGTGTTAATTTTGGACATGTCAAGTTTAAGATACCTTTGGGGATGTGAATGGAGATGTCAAGTAATTAGGGATGTGTGTGTGTGTGTTTATAACATAAATCTGTAACTCATAGTGGAAGTGTGGAGGCTGAAGATATAAGTATGGGTATTAACAATTATGTATCGATGACATCTATTATAACAATTATATATAGATGTGTATATGTATATATGTGACTATTCAGGAGCGAACTCAAAAACACCAAGGTTTATTTTAATACAATAATTTTCCAATAATTATTGGAAGGAAGAGGACGAAGAACCAGAACTAGAAGGAGGCTGAGGAAGGGTGTTCATAGAGACAGGAAAAAGAACAAAATAGAGTATTCCAGAAGCTAAGCGAAGAAGATAGCGGGATGATCTGATGCTTTAGCAAGGTCAAAAGGGGAAGGCTGGGGAAGTACAAAAGAAGGCCAGCAGGATTTCATGACAAAAGAGACTGATGTCAGAAGCAGTTTTATAACAGCTATGTGGGAAGGAGCCAGTTTAGGTGGCTGAGGAGGGAGTATCAATAAAGACAGATTCAACTCTTTAAAGGGAACTTTGGATGGTACCACTGGAGTAGCCTGAGCACTACTGAGATGATCTCTTTATTCATAGGTTAGAAGTCCGAACGTATTTCAAACACTTGTTACTAGGGTACTCATTTATTTTTTTATAGACAGTCATATGTAGAATTCTAGTTCATCAGAAGAAAATATAATATCACAGGTAAGCAAATCACCCGCCCCCTCCCCCCCCTCCTTTTTAGCACCATTTTGTAGAAAATATGCAGGCCATTTAGCAGGTAAGATCTTTACATTCTTTGGCATGAAGCTTATAGAAATAAGATGACTTGAAACTCCGTTTTTCAAATTAAAATACCTAAGAGCTAGGGGTAACATTTTTTCCTGGGATATAAAACTTCAGTGCTAAAATTGCAACAGTCCTTGGCAAACTGGCTGGGTGGTGACCCTACCTGCCCTAAGGGTGACAGTACTTCTGCACTTCCCACAGATTAAGGCCTTTGACTCACAGGAGAGATTGAAGAAAGGATCCAGGTAGAATTTCACGTCCCTTCTGTAGGTCTGCACCACAGCAGACACTTTCTGTAGGCTTCCTCTCTTACCATTGTTTGTGTCTGGTGGGATTTCTGGTGAAGGAATCTGCAAGCAAGTGCGGACTCCCCGATTTTATGTGCACCCAGGTGCCCTCAGTCTGCCTTCACCTGTTCCTGCACTATTCTAGCTGTACCCTTCTTACGGTGTCTGGTTGCATGGATTCCAAGTAAGCAAATGCTAATGTCCCCTCTGTCCTTGTGGGTGCCCGCCTGTCTTTTGATTTCAGCCCAGTTTGCTCGGTGATTTCAGTCCTTTAATTGGTCCTATATAAGTCACGAATTTGAGTTGAGTTGGACTTTGTGTCACTGGCAATGCTCTGTAGCTCTCCATGCCCCACAGTGGAAACTAGAACCTTTTAATGTATATATACAATCATCTGGGAATCTTACTGAAATGCAGAATCGGTTTCAGTAGGTTTGAAGTGGGGCCTGAGATTCTGCATTTCTAACAAGTTCCCAGTGATTTCAGTGCTACAGGTCCAGAGACCTGATTTTGAGTAGCAAGGTTATAGAAGATGGTTTTGTTTTAGTTTATAAAGTGGGAAAGAGTTGAGGTCACCTAGGTAAACTGAGGCATGCTTGAATTGTGAAAGGAAATGGGAACACAGATGTGACAGTGATAATGTGGGACATTTAGTGAGCTGGCAGAATTTTGAGTTTGTGTGTGAGAAAGGTCTTTCAATAAGATCATGGTTTAAAAACATTATCCTACCATTTTTTTCTCCTCAAAGGAGCTTCTTAAAGACATTAGAAAAAAAATGTGAATTGTTAATACTGATTTTATATCTAAATAGTGGTCACTTTTGACTAATAATGCCGTGTACTCCTTTTTGTTCATCTCTTTTTATTCCTCATTATTACCTTGAATATACTGTCTGTTGGTTAGTCTCATTTTTTCAGTGAACCATGTCCCTAGTCATACTATTTTTTTCTTCTACTTTTCTTCATCCTGTTCTTCTTCCTGTGCTTTCCCCACTTAACTTTGAATTGCTTTTTAAATTTTGAAAGAATCTCAAATTTAGAGAAAAGTTTGTAGTATAAAAAACTTTTTTTTTTTTGAGAAGAAGTTGCTGACATGATGCTCTGTCATCCCTGTCACACGTTAAGTTCCTTGGGAAGCAGCCTCTGAGATAAAGATTCACACCCGGGAAGTTTACTGGGGAGTGCTGTTGGAATCCTTACTTAGAAAGGGAAGAGAAGGAAGCCGTTTGGGGCAGAGGTAAAGAGATGAGTCTCAATGGCAGCCGCAGCTGACCCCATGGAGATTGGATGTTTTAGAGATGGGATGACCCTTCAGCGTTGTCCTGAGTTAGGGGAGCGGCCTGGGGCTCTGCCTCTGTGGAAATGAGTTATTGGATGTGGACGTCCTTGGTCAGGGTGCAGAACCTTGGCTAAGGCTGTCCCCCAAGATGTAGGAATGTCGACTCGGCTGTTGAACTGCTGCCATTTGAGAGACTCCAGCTATGCTGCCAGAGGAGCCTGGGAAGGGGAGCTTACTATGGACACAAGTGGGGAGGTTGTGATGAAAAGGATGACAGTGTTGCAGAGGAGGCGACTCTGGTAAAAACTTCACATTAAAGGAACTCTCAGATATTTCATGACATTGAAAACACAAAGGATAAAATGTTGCAAGCTAATCCAGACTTAGAAAGGAGTTTGACAATTCACCATGGTGTAGAAAAGATGCCTGCTCAATATTGTAAGTTATATGAGCAGAGGAGTGCTGGCACTGTTGAAGTCGCTTTTGATAATATTTTTTCACAAAGAAATAAAACACTTTAATTTTCAGTGTTTCTAATATTTTAAATTATGGCATACTAAATATTAATTTTGTTTTAAAATTTTCTTTTGTATTTATAGCTGTCAGTAAGAGAGTTAAAAAAATTTTTTTATTGAGCTATAATTGATATACAACATTCCATTAGTTTCAGATGTACCAGGTAATGATTTGATATTTGTATATATTGCAAAATGATCACAATAAGTCTGGTTAAAGTCTGTCACCATACATAGTTCCAGAATTCTTTTTTCTTGTGAGAGAGTGTTTAATGTTGTTTTTTAAAAAATTTAATGGTCACAGAACAATTGCCATTTCCCCCATTGGTTATTAAGATTGCTTTGCTTGGTTCTAGCCTCCACTGTCATTTTGATAGCCCCACTCTCCTGTGCGAAGCAAGGACTTCCTATATTCTAGCATATTTCACTTCAAAATTTCATATACATTTTTATTTGTACATATTTTATTTACTTCGTGGCTCGAATACATTTTGATTTTAAAATATTTTTAGCATGCAGATATCCCAAACCTGAGATTGCCATTGTGACGCGAGGGAAGGAGGCGTCCTCAGCAGAGACCCCTGATAGTTTTGGTATAGTACAATCTCAACAGAATTGACTGTTCATTAGATGTTTATTGCAAACAGCAAAGCATCTATTTGACAGAACCTCTTGCTGGTTTGAAATAGCATGCTTTAGTTATAACGATAATTTTTTTTAATCAGTGTTTTAGACTGGCTACAGAATATTTGTTTTTATTATCTAATCCTAAACATTGTGGATTTGATGGAATAATAATTGCATGTTTAATTAACTGAAGGATTAAATTTATGACCTTAACAAAAGACATCATCACTTACATTTAATTATATTTAAATAGTGTGTTTTAAAAATTATTGAAATAACCACAGTAAGAGAGACATAAGCAACAAAAATTATGAATTTCTTAAGGATGAATGAGTAAAAAAAGACCACACAGGGAAATCTTCAGAATATTGTAAAGAGAAACTGCATTTAAGTAACTGATTTTCAGGAAAATGTATTTTTTTTTTTTTTAAAGATTTTTATTGGGGAATTGGCGGGATGGGAACAGTGCTGGGGAATTCGGGGAAGGGGAACAGACAAGTTGCTGTCATTTTGTTCTTCAATCTAGTTGTGGAGGGTGTTGCTTCACTGGCCCAAGTTGGCACCATCATTGCACTCTTCTCTGGCGAGGCAGATCAGTCGCCGGCTTCTGGACGGCCGCTCACTGCGGCTGCTGGCCGCTCACGCTGGCTGCTGGCCACACACGGTAGCCCATGGCAATCCACTGCCACAGGGACTGCAGCCCACGCCGTCGCCAGCGACTCATGGCAGCCCAGCTCCAGGTTGAGCTGTTGTTCAGCATCTTAGCTGTGGAGGGCAGTGTCACTGGCCTTCATATGTGGGATCCGAACCGGGGCCCTCTGGCATCCCAAGCGAGTTCTTAACCATCGCGCCACTCGGCCGGCCCAGGAAAATGTATTTTAAAAATATGTTCTTGAATAGTTTGAAAACCTTGTTTAATTTCATTTTAAGGCCATTCAGAAAGTTTTTTTTTTTTTTTGAGATTCAGTCTCCATACAGCTTGACATTTAACTTATGTGAGGGAGACAGAAAGGGAGGGAGAAATAAAAATAAATATCTCTTTGTCCCTATTTCATTTATTTTTGATTACTATTTAATATAGATATATTGCTAAAAAGTATAACACAATGTATGAAAAGGAATCAGCAATGATTTATGTGGGCTAATTGAAATTTTAAAAGGATAAAACGTAAATACAACTTAGTTTTCTTAGGCTGTGTGTGTACACACACACACACACACACACACACACACACACACACACACACACATAGTATCAAGAGCAAAAACCAAACTATAAGAACTTCAGAGAACTGTACAGGCATATAGTATATGTGTACACACATATGTATATATCAGCATGTTAGTACATGTCTGCAAAAATGCCCCAGTATATTCTACTTTGCCAATTTTAATGGAATTCTAAAATTAAAAATTTTAACCTCGGTGTGTATGTAGAAGTTACACATTTTAATGCAAATGTCTTTTGAAGAATAAAGTTTTAATTTTGAATTATTCTAAAGAATATTTAGTTACCCCTCATCTTTAGGACAATGTAGGGAAAAAGAATGATACTTATTCTACAGATGATGGCAAATGATATCACTAGGAAGTAAGGTGCTACTGAACAATAATAACTAACCTGATAGTAGGACTTACCTGTCAGGGACCACCTTTTGAAACTCAGCCTTTAGTTATATCTCTACTCCCTGTAGTGTGCTTCTTCATGAATGTTTAGGTGGTACCCCTCTATTTTTTAAATCCTACTAGTTACGCAATAAGGGAGAAATATAGGATCAGAATCAAGGGATTGCAGAGACCTAAACTCCTCATTTTATGTAACATGAAACTGAGATCTAGAGGATTTATGACATATTTAAGATTTGCTGAAAAAAAAGAAATATATATATAAGAGCAGGAATTAGTGTTCAGTGCTCTTTTCACTATAATAAATTGCCTCAGGATTAGCAGGGGAGATTAATGCTAGACTATAGGGTATCCAGTTGTTCTGAAACCAAGAGAAACCGTGTAATTTTCCCATTCAGAAAATGTTTTATTTGCTAACCATAAGTCAGTTGATTTCTTCCTTCTTTTAACTTTGGTGGGTTTTTTAAAATTATGTATCTGAAAGGGAATTATTGCTTAGAGAAAAACGGCAATTTGAAAAACATGTTGGCATTTTAGTTAGTTGCAGTCTTATTTCAGTTTCAAATATTAATGCATTACCGGTGTTTTGACAATGTTTTGTTGTTGTTGTTGTTGTTGTTTTAAGCTGAGCCATCCTGCTACCTATTGGCAGCTTAGCGGCAGCTCAGCTCGGGCCGGGCATCGAACCGCTGTTGCTCGGAGCTCAAACTCTTGAGCGAGCTCTTAACCAACTGAGCCACTCGGCCGGCCCCTGACAATGTTTTATATATTCATATGACTGAGTCTTGGTTCTTTTATGTTTTTGTATTGAGAATTTATTCATTGAAAGAGAAGTACAATAAGAGAATGAGAATCTAGGTTCTAGACCCAGCTGTGTGTCCTTGAGTAAGTCACTTAACATCTCTGGGTCTATGTGGCTGCATGTTCAAAGTGGAGAATTAAGTCAGTATTTTTTAGTGAGCATACTATTGGCATTTGGGCTAGATAATTCTCCATTATGAAGGACTCTTTTTGTGCACCGTAGGAGTCTAGAATCGCTAATGCTAGTAACATTTCCTAGTCATTATCACATCCAAAAACAACCCTGCATTTCTAAGCGTCTTCTAGGGTGACATACCACCCCATGTTGAGAACCACTGGCAGAGATTTCTAAGGATTCTTTCAGTGCTAACATTCTATGAAAGAATTCTTATTTGGGGAATGACTATAAGGGAAAATGGTAATGCTTTGACTGAAAAATCTCAGTTCCTTCTTAATATTTAGCAATTTTATTTTAAAAAATCTTGGGAATCTATGTAACCCAAAAATAATATGAATTATTATTTTTTCCTAGCTCACTTTAAGCTTTCCATGTATAAAATAATGTATCCATGTATAATACGCATAGTTATATGATTTTCTAAACTTAAAGTTATAAGTACTGTCTCTATACTTAATGTAAAAGTAACAAGATCTAACTATTTTTTAAAAGTTGTACTGTTGTTTTAATTTTTTAAAAAGAAGGAATTTCATTATACGCGTATATAGTAATTGTTTTCTTCATCTGTCTTCCTTTGGCATGAAAGGTGGGAAGGGATACAGTCTCTGTGTTAAGTAATATATGTAATTGTCCCAAGTACACAAATTAGACATGTAAAAGCAACCACTAATCAATAGGATGTTTAATGATCCATAAAATCTCCAGGAAATGACAGCTATAAGATAAATAAATTATTATACCTCTAATATTTACTATTTCTTAAGCTAGAGGTAAACATTGAACAGATTAGTGTATTAATGAGGTTAATAAACATGATGAGTCATTGGGCACTGTCACCTTCCTCATCCTCACTCCTGTCCCCAACTGTTTTGCCACTAGCCTGCCTCAACCAAGGAGCTGGTTAGTTGCCCTGAAGTAAACTGGATACCAGTAGAGGTTGCAGTGAAGCCCCAGGTCGTTACGTACTCTAGGTTAATGAGGTGACAGTAATATGTGATTTAAGGAGAAATCTCTTTACTGCATATGTACGTGTTGCAGTAAACTTTTAAATGCTAAATAAAATTATAGAATGACACATACTTTTTTAGCTAAAGCATATAGTTTTAAAAATAATTAAAAAGTCCTTTTATAATTATAGTCTTTATTTTAAAAGACAAGACCTATTCATTGAAATTTACTAAGTTACAAAGTTAAGTTCCTTACTATTTCTAAAGTTTTCATCTTTCAGTTTTGAATGTCAGTTTTAATAAATATATTTCTTAGACATATTAATGTGTTTCTTTTAAAAAATATTGCTGTGTAGCTTTATAAACCCCTTTTGGTGCATGTTTAATTTTTTGGCATTTAATATGATTTGCTTAAATTATTTTGTATACAGCATGGTTTGCATTTTAAGTTTGTACTTTTTAATGTGTCGTGTTTATTGCAAATTTTATCTTATCCATTGGAACTTTAGGTTCTATTAAAAGTCTAAGCAGCTATTTATAGTGTTCAGCAACATGGGTAATTGAAACCCATAGTCCCTAAATTGTTGCTTAAATATAGTAGTTTCATCTTTGTTCTTTTCATAAATCTCTTATTAGCCCAAATTGTGATTTGTGTTGCCAAGTCTACTGGACTTTCTTGGGGATAAGATGCTGTGGTGGGGCCTGGAGCAAATATTAATATTAGGTGGTCAAAAGACCAGAAACTGGATAACTGGGCACGTAGAATATTGAGTTATTTGTAATTAAAGGAATAGTGTGTGCATTAAACTGTTCTTTTTATGTCATCTCAGGGTGAAGTTGCTTTGGTACTGTCTATTATAAATGATTTTGAACTTTTCCCTTGATTTATGATCTTATGTTGATATTTACACTCATGGTAACAAACTGAAACAAGTTATCACATTTAAAATTATCATTGCCATGAAGGTGTAATGGAAAAACAAGAGTCTTTGTTTTTCATATTTTCTTTTGTTTCAAGTTTGGGTTCATACCTTGTAAAGTATCGTTAAATTTAATAGAATGTTTAGCAATGAAAATGATAAATTATAGTTTCTGTTAAATAATATAATAGAACACGCTCTCTCTGCTAAGGGGCCTAATTCTGTTTTCCAGCACCACCATTATAAACACATTTTGTTCTATCATAAAACTAAAATGTAGAAATCATATGTGTTGCACTTAATTTCTTCTACCAAAGTATATTGATTTTCAATTTAAGATGTATCTCATAGTCATTTATTTAAAAGAGAAATATACCAGACATAGCTTATCCTAAAAAATATTCTAGAAAGACTTGTAAATGCAAAGAGTTTTTTTTTTTGTTTCCAGGAGTTGTGATAAATATCTAGGGTACTTTTATATAAGAAAAAGATTTCTCTATACATGATAGTAATTGAATATATTTAAATTCTCAAGGAGAGACCTGAGGAAGAGATATCCCATTTCAAATAATTTTCATTTGATCTGATACAGTATAAAGGAACAATTTGCAACAACTGTTTTATTTACTTTCCCTCCAGCAAAGACTTTTAAATGTGCAGTCAAAAGGAAAAATACCCTGTGTTTCATAGACGCATGTAGATAATTTTCCTAACCTCTGTATTTCTAAACTTGGAACCCTGTTAAGAGCAACTTCTCCTTCAAACAGTTGGTAATGTTTAAGAAAGGGAAAAATGAAAGGATGTCTGGCTGTTAGTTATTTTTTGCCACTATTATGAATTAACACACCGGGAAAGCAGAACAGCTCTTCAATTAAGGATTTTTATGTCTGTGTTCACGAGGGATATTGGTCTGTAATTTTCTTTTTCTTTTTTTGTTTGTTTGTAATTTCTTGGTTAGGTTTTATTTATTCAAAAAATGTTTTGTCCTTTTCTTTCTCCTCATCTCCTGAACTCCGGTTGTACATAAACGGACCTATTTAGCCATAGGCCCCTGAGACTCTGGTTCCTTATTTTTCCGTCCTTTGATCCTCTGATTCTCTGTTCTTCAGATTGGGTAATTTTTACTGATATACCATCATGTTCACTAACTTTTTTTGGTCACCTCCATTTGCTTTTAAGCCTAGTCAGTTAATTTTAAAATTTCAGTTAATGTATTTTTCAGTTCTAAAGCTTCGATTTGGTTCTTTTCTTTAGATTCTCTTTGAGCATATTTTCATTTATGTCTTTAAATATACTTTTAATTACTACTTGAAGCCTTGTCTGATATTTCCAACATTTGGATCACTTCGGATTGGTCTCCGTCTATTCTTTTTTCTCCTAAAAATGGGTCATGTTTTCCTGTTTCTTTGTGAAATAATTTTGGATTGTATCCTAGTCCTTGCTGTAATTATTGTGTTACAAAGACTATGGACTCTGTTGTTTTATTCTGAAAAATACTGATTTTTATTTGTTTTAGCAGACAGTAAATGGTTAGGTTTAAACTACAAACTCTATGTCTTGGGCCACAGCTCCAATCTTCAGTTATTTTACCTTTAGCTAGGATTTTCTTGGAGTGCCCCTGCACATGTGTGGTTCGTAGGTCAGCCATATGTTTGAACTGAATGTATACAGAATTTAGGGCTCCTCCTTTCTGACTCTCTTCTTTCCAGGACTCTTGCTTTCCACTGGCTTTTGTTACCTTGCACCCTGTCTACGGCTTCTTCAGGCCAGAAAGACGAAGCTATTTTATTATATTAGCATCCTGCATGTTGTGGATCGAGGCCTGTCCTCAGGCCAAAAGCTGCAACAAACGGGTAACTCATTTAGCTCCATTGTTCCTTCCAAGCGTTGCTGATTCCTCTCCAGAATCAACCTATTTTTGGTCATTTTCCAGTGCTTTCAGGTGGTTATTTATTTGTATTGTATTTTAGTCCATAGTTCTATGCAGGAGGATTTGTCTGATAGAAGGTTACTCAGCTAGTGTTGGAAGCAGAACTAGAATTTTTTAATTCTAAAAATAGTTGGAAAAATAGTGTTGTGAAATACATTCCTAACGGCCATCTTATTATTTAAAAATAATCAGAAAAAGAAGAGAAAAATTATGATGTTTATAACACACACACACACACACACACACACACACACACAGAGTAATTGAAAGAACTGGTTTTTCTAACTCCAGTCTGCTGAATAAAACATTAGATTAGAATACATTTCCAATGTAAGTGTAGATAGTTTACATACGTCAGAAGAAAATTCTTAAGGTTAAGATCTATTTATAGGGAAATAAAGTTGCTGGGGTTTATTGTGACTATTTTCTGGGAGGTTATATTAGCAGCCATTACATTTTTTTTTTTTTTAAGATTTTTATTTGGGAATTGAGGGAAGGGGAACAGACAAGTTGTTGTTCTTTTGTTCTTCAGTCTAGTTGTGGAGGACGTTGCTTCACTGGCCCAAGTTGGCACCATCATTGCGCTCTTCCTGGGCGAGGCAGATCAGTTGCTGGCTTCTGGACGGCCGCTCACAGAGGCTGCTGGCCGCTCACGCTGGCTGTTGGCTACATACGGTAGCCCATGGCAACCCACTGCCACAGGGGCTGCAGCCTACGTTGTCGCCACAGACTCATGGCAGCCCAGCTCCAGGTTGAGCTGTTGTTCAGCATCTTAGCTGTGGAGGGCACTATCACTGGCCCTCATATGTGGGATCCAATCCGGGGTCCTCTGGCATCCCAAGCCAGCTCTTAATCATCGCGCCACTCGGCCGGCCCCAGCCATTACATTTTAAAACATGTATATACTGCTGAAGCCTTGGGCTTATTTCCAAGATTGAGTTCTGTTGTGTATTGTCATCTAATGTTTTTTACTTTTGATGTATATTTTGTTTTGATTCAGGTACTATAGTAAAGAAGATAACTTACAGTGTCCGAGTCCTCAAAGTGATCAATTTATAATTTAAAAACAATTTTTGATGGATGCTTTCTAATAAAATTTTCGCTTTCTAGGAAATGTTCCTTTCATGTTTCCTCTTGTTAGTCCTTGGGTCCTTTGTGAAGCAGGAGACGGAATCTATGCTTAGATTTTACTTTCATTTGTTATTTTTTCATTACCTTTAATTTTTTAATCCTACTATGTGTAGTTGTAAACAAAGATTAGGATACTGTATACATTATTTGATTTTTTTTCTTTACCTCTACACATTATACATTTGCCTAGTACTTATCCTTAGCAGTTGTGAAATATTTTAAATGTTTTGCTCAATATGTAGGGAATTTGAAGAAGTAAAAGCAAGGACTCTATATACTCTCACTCTATTGGGAAGCTCCTGTTTGTTGAATTTTTAGTTATTTCAAGATGCTCCAAGGACTTCTCACAGTGTTAGAACTGAGGGATGAGAGGAATGCAGCTAGTAGATAGCTCTGGTATGTAACTGCTTTTGCACGTTTACTTCACCAGAAAACTCTGTGGACTACAGTGGTATTCTGTATTCCTTGTGAAAAATTTGGAAAACCATTTGCATGCTTTCAAAGTAAATTTTGAGGGAATGGTCCTAGTCAAAGGGTGGAGAATATGTTTTAATGAGATGTAAAATTCTACAAAGACTGGTATGTCTTCATTTCTTAACACTTAAAAAAGGAGAAACAAAAACTTGCATCCTTAGAACTTTCTGAATTATATGATAAGTGATTAAACTGTACCTTTTAGTGTATTTCTTATGGTAAAGCCATTATTGTATTATACTATATGCTTTTATAGTAAAGTAGCATTCACAAATTTGATCCATACTCCTTTTCATATAGCTTATCTAGAGGAGTTTATTTGCTTTTTACTTTTTTAGAACTAAATTCTCCAGTGCTTATGTTGTCATAGATTATAAATAACTGTTTTAGAAAGTGTATATCCAGTTTGTAATGTGTTTCCTTGGAAAATCTAGTTGCCTAAATCTGTAGAATAGAGCAATTCATGGTGTGGGTTCTTTTCTATAGGTTATCAGTTAATTCTGTTGGATTGGATGAGGATGAAGAAGGTTAGAATTCTCTGCCGTTTTACCATAGCTTACTCTTGTACTTACATAAATGGTGAGATTAGGTAGATTTTTTTTGGGTAATAATTGTTAATTTTAGATTTAATGATGGCACCTGAAGATATCTACTTTGATATATACTTGGGAAAACTTTGCACAGTTATTATGATTTATTATAAATAGTATATTGTTGCTTGTTGAATAACACCTTACTTTTTTTAGGTCATTTGATTGTGTGGAATATTTTATATTATCCAGTAATATAGTTTTCAAAACTCAAAATATTTAGTATATTAGTAAGGGAGATTAATTAAGGAACAGAACAAAAATCCAGTGAAGTCATTGGTGCAATACATTGCTTTAAAAATATTGTTTTCTTATTTTTAAAATACCTCTGGGTTTATTTAAATATTCTTTTTTCTGCTCTCAATGTTCGTTTGTATATATATTTCTTAAGTCATCTAAGCTTGCCATCTTAAAAAAGGGTAGTTATAGTTTTGGATTTTTTACTGTAATTAATATAAACAAGCTCATTATATAGATGCAAGGACTTAAAAAAGAAAAAAATGATTTATTCACACCTGTCGAGTTCATGACAGGCTTGTAACTAAAGCTCAGTTTTGTTTTGTTTTGTTTTGTAGCCTTGAAATTTAATCCATACCAACTAATATTTTCTATATGGATGTTTTTAGTCCATTAACCTAAAGATAATTTATGTATAAACTCTGACATTTTCTCACTTTGAAAACCTGCTGGTGTTTTCTTCATTGTGATAAAAAAGAAATCATGCTATAGTAACTAATTCTTGCCCCACACCCTTTTTTTTCCCTTTAGAAAAATTGGAAGCTCCACCACCCACCCCAGGACAGCTGAGATATGGTAATGGTTCTATAATTGTTAAATATTGTGGATCTATCTTTTGGACTTAAGATAACTGTATCAATGCATTGATAGTACAAAAGTCAGTAAATTAAATCTTTCCAGATAGAGTGGATTATCCTATTTATTATGCTAAAGCAAAAAGTTTATAAACTTGGTTTAAGTCATATCACAGTAATATGGAAATTCTAATATTGTCAACCATATCTATATATTAGTGTTTAATTATTTTACCATCTAGAAATAGAATTATACTTATGGTAGAGTTTTTCTTAATTCTCAGGAAAAAGATATATTTACTTTAGTTTGGATTTAAATTGGGCAATTGCCAAACTAGAATTTCTAGGCTCAAGGCTACTTAGAGCTGTTCTCTGGTGGAGAAAATACTTCTGGCTTGCTGTGTGTAGTAATAAAGGAAGTCAAGTTCATTTAAAACCACCAGGAAGAAGAACCTTATGATGCTGCCGTTGTGCTTTTTTTACTTTTTTATGATAGGAATAAAGGCTAACACTGAAGTAATGTGAAACAGTTTGAGATCTTATTATAAAGATAGTGAAGAAAAGAATTATTTAACAGTGCAGTGAATTTGAATAGGTTGTCAATTAAAGCTAAATATTAGATGGATTTGCTAACAACTGCTTAGTTACAGAATAGTATTTCCCAAAGGAAATTGAAGAAATTACAAAATGCAAGGAGGTCATTACATCCTGGAAAGCAAACATAATTTTTCAAAACCTTTTTAGTAGTTCTTTTTTTTCTTTCAGAGGTTGAATATAATTTATGTAGAAATAAGTAACTTTCCCCAAATACCAAAACAGTTTAAGACTTCCTTTTTCCAGGTAACCTTTCCTGATTCTTCTAGCCTACATTCATATAATCTGTATCCATAGCACTGTACAATATTAGTATCATGTTTTTGGTCATATTGAAATTAACTGTTTATAGGGCTGTGTTATCCTACCCAAACTTTTTGAGGGCTTTATCCTTGTATCTCAAGCGCCAGTGGAGGATCCAGGACACGTTTATTTAAGTTTTTAAAAAGCATGTTTTTTCCTGTGGGTTGAGAATAAATTTTTATGTATAGGACACATTTATTTAGTTCTAAACATAAAAACACGATATATTTTAGAGTTTAAAGTGACTATTATAGCAATGTGCCTTGGTTTTACTGACCAAGTTTTTACTAGGGTAGCATTTCATCTAACCTTAGTTTAATCGCCTTAACACTAAATTTTAAGATGTTTGTCACTGGCCAGTGTTAGAGATGCCATCAAAATAACCCCAGAATGTTAAGTAACCCCAAAGCTTTCATAGTCACTTTGCCATATTTGCATTTCAAAAACGATGGAGAAGATGATTTGGGAGACTTTTCTCCAGAGATATATTCAAATAGCTTTTTCTTCACTGTAAAGGTTTCATTTAGTAAATTAAAAAATTTTTCATTATACTCTCTTGACCTATCAAATTTGTATTATGTTTTTAGAAATTGGGATTGTGTATTATGTTTTGGAAGTTGCTTATTATAAAATTTTGAATGTTTAGTAGTTAAGCAACTAGACAGGGAAAAAGTCAAAGAACAAAGAACTAAGGCACTTTCATTGAAAAATACCATTTCATTATGCTCTATTTGATTTTTATCATCATTAATAGCATTTAAAATAATATTCTTTATAAATTAAAAAGATGCTTTTGATCTTGAACATTCTTACTTGATAAGAAGAAGAAATCTAAAATGACCTGGGCTACCTGCTGTTTTCCCTGATCTTAGTCTTCAGTAGTGGTTGTGGGTTTTTTGGGTTTTTTTGTGGGTTTTTAGACTGTATGTTAGTCTTCTCTCATTGGTGCAGAGTTCATTTATAGTAATATCAAACTTTCATAATTTCTGGATTATATTTTAATTATACTTTCTGTGGACCTTACTGCATTAAAAAAAAAGACTCTAAAGTCACTGAAACTGAACACATTAACCAGTTGATATAAGGGCCTATTTTTTGGATATGGTATAAAACTCAGAGTTTTGATGTTTATCGAAAAAAAGCCCTCAGTTGAACTGATGTTGACTGTACCTTGGAAATTTATAGATTTATTAGAATAAAGTCTTTTAACTATCCCCAACTTTTAATCTTTTTCACAGCCTGCCTTCAATTCTCTCAATTTGGAATTCTCTTTCTTTCCACATTTAGTGGCCCTCAACTTAATCAGCTAATGTTTATTGAGCATCTGCTGTGCACTAGGCATTCTGCAGTGTGCTGAAGATGCAAGTGTGAAAAAAATGAGGCTAAATGTGTGAAAAATATACAGGTGTTAATACTTTCTAGTCACACTTCTATTATCTCAGGTTACTCAGACTATGTACTGGATAGGTGAGGTAAGGTGTGCCTTACCTTGGTAGGAAGAGGCCAAGTTACATTTTGATTTAAATAAAATATTGTTTATGGTTTGTGAAAGCATTCAGGGATACTGATGCATTCATTGTGGGGGGAAAAAGACCTCCTTGCACATAGGTGTCCAATATAGATGAGATCATCACATTTTTTTTCACATTTGTTTAAAAAAATCTTTAGTGAGTATAAGTGACCAGATAGCTTCCCTGAAATTTGGTTCGGGGAAGTTTTTTATTGTTTCTAATGTGAAGATCAATGTTATATCGGTCTTTAGGCGTAAGAGAAACAGATTGATGTCAATGGCAATTAGACAGGTAAAACTTGTTATTCATAATATGTATTTACTTACTAGTTGTTCTGCCATTAACTGTATGTAATTTGCATGTGTGTTTGTTGCCAGTAAGAAAACACAAAAGCCTAACACAATTATTTTTACATGTTATGTGTTTTTTATCTTGTGTTCTTCCTCAGTATGGTTTCTACCAAGTAGCTAAACTTAGAGCTGTGGGAGATAGCAAGCAAATTCCAAAGCTTATCAGCTCTGTGTAGGAGATTTTGATCATATGGTCTGTTTTTGTCATTTTAAAATGATAGAAATCTTAAAATATATTTTTCTGTTTTTGATGTTTTTCAGTATTCATCCACAATGCGATACCTTTCATAGGGTTTGGCTTTTTGGATAATGCAATTATGATTGTTGCAGTAAGTTCTTTTTCTCACTCCTTCTATTTTGAGTTAATAAAGAAATTTATGTAGTCTAAATTTTCCTGACATTTGCATATTGTAAACTATAAAGTTTTAGTTAATATCATAATGAATGAAGCTATTTTTTTACTATATGAGAATTAGACTATAGCTCAATGTTAAGGCATCCTATATATTAATCATTAAGGCTTTTGTTAAAGCATTGACAATAATAAACATATTTATTGGGTTTGTATTATCCTGTTCTAGTTTCAACATTTTTATTAAAGAAAAAATTACATAAAATTTTCTGACGTTCTTTAATTGTATTGGTAGTTCACATCACGTGTGTGTTATTTGAATAGTTTCTTGTTCAATTTTCCAATGAAAAAAATGTTTTAAAGAATGTTTTGATATAGTCTATACATTTAACCCGAAGGTGTTTTAAATTTCAACTCAGAACACTGAATATATATACCCCTTTTGTGTTTGCTTCATTGTAGTGTTTAAAAAAAAATTCTCATTTGCTGTGGTCATTTTAATGTAAGGGTGTTCCTTAAAAGTGTTGTATAGTCTCAAAGATGGCTGATTTACCGTTCTTAGCGTTATGTGACACCTTTTGTTAATGGATACCAATACTGAGTTCAGTTCTAAAGTCAGAAATGAGCCCATGATTAAAACGCAAGTATTCTGAAACTACCCAGTACTATTTCCATTTCTCTTCATTGACTCTAATTACAAAAAAGTTTTCAATAAATTTTAGCTAGTGTGTAAGAGACTGCTTTGAAAAAATGGAATGATTTTAGGATTTTTTTTTTTTTTTAAGATTTTTATTGGGGAATTGGGGGATGGGAACAGTGCTGGGGAATTGCGGGGAGGGGAACAGACAAGTTGCTGTCCTTTTGTTCTTCAGTCTAGCTGTGGAGGATGTTGCTTCACTGGCCCAAGTTGGCACCATCATTGCACTCTTCCCAGGCGAGGCAGATCAGTCGCCGGCTTCTGGCCACACACGGTAGCCCATGGCAACCCACTGCAGCAGGGGCTGCAACCTACGCCGTCGCCGGCGACTCACAGCAGCCCAGCTCCAGGTTGAGCTGTTGTTCAGCATCTTAGCTGTAGAGGGCAATGTCACTGGCCCTCATATGTGGGATCCGAACTGGGGTCCTCTGGCGTCCCAAGCCAGCTCTTAACCAACACGCCACTCGGCCGGCCCTGATTTTAGGATTTTTGAATGTGAGGAAAATACATAGGAGAGAAGCAAGTTTGCATGCGCGTGCGCGTGTTTTGGAGGTCGCGTGCTACAGATGGACATAAATAGAATATTTGCTTTCAAAATAGGGATAACAAGATAATTTACATTGTATAGATTATAAAATTTGCTTAAAGAATATCTAAAATTAATTCATTCAAGAGTGGTTTTATTTGCTATATATAGTCTCACTTTATGTCCAGATTGATGGGGATCACATATCTAAAAGTCTGGCCATTCACCTGGCTGAGGAAACTTGCAGGGTGTAAATAGTCACAGAAGATCCTCTAGCATGCACGGAACTTGGAGATGTTAAGCACCCATTAGATAATTCCATACTGAGCAGAGTAGTCTGGTAAAGCCTCTAAAATATAATTTCAAAATGCTAGTTTTTGACTGATTTCAACATTTTCCTAATATGTATTTAAGAATCAAATTGGTATAATATTGAATGTCAACTGTAACTGAAAAGTAAAAATAGATTAAAAAGGAATCACATTGGCCAATTTATATATCTGAATGTGAGAAGCTTATTCTACCATTTAGAACTACACTGCTTTTTCTGACATTACTAAAATCTGAGTTTGTTAGATTATTTAAATAGTTAATGTAAACCAATCTAATTGTAATGAAAACCCCATTGTGATGAATTTCTAAGCTGTCGTTAGACTTGATGTGTTCTTGAATAGGTTGTCTGAATTAAAGTTTCTCTGTGGCAAATATTTCTTTCGATTTTACGCAACTCACTCAATATTTTAGATTCTCTTTATTGACAGCTAGTACCTCCCACACTACCATCTTACTAATCATTTCTTTTTTAACCTCAGTAGGGCAGATCTTAGATATTCAAATGCTGAAAAACTGTCCTGCTACAGGGATGTGTTGAGAAGATATAATTTTCACAAAGAGGGGCTCAGGTAGATTTTGAATAGAGGTCAGAATAGGGAAACTGGGTAGCTTTTTAGATCCTGAATAAGACCTTCCCAGTATGGTATTATCATTTCTTTGAAGTAAATATCTAAAATAACAGATATCTGTGTTTAAATAGAGCTACCAATCCAAACAAAATAAAACACCCCCATTCTAGAGTCAAATGATTGTAATATTATTCACTGTTTTGTGTTGTTACTCAGGGCTGTGTCATGAGTAGCATAAATGCGAGTTTGCGGGCCCCAGATGGTTGACTCCAATTCAGTAATATTTGTTCTCCTAGTTTACATTGAAATCTAGTTTCAGGGACTTATCACCAGGTTCTTATTTATATACTGAAATACATATTTAAACCACTGGCTTCAACACCTGATTAAGAGTAATAGGTGTGGCAAAAATATTATCCTGTGATAATTGCAAACTAATTTAGGGACAGTGAAATTTTCCAAATAGGCTTTATAATAGACTGCTGAGACTAAAATCATAAATAATATTAACTATAGAATCTGTGAAAAGGGAAACAAGTGATCATTATTATAAGAATTCTCTTCCCTTTTTTAAAAAAACACTGATAGTCTCCTAACATTGTGGGACAGCTCTGTCTGTTTTAAGATAGTAAGTTCAGAAGATACTTGATTCTTCTTTTCTATCATACCATTGATATTTAATGGTTTCCTCTTTCCTGCTAGGTGTTCTCTCTGGGCTGCTGATACCCTAGTTGTCATAAAAACAAATTTGTATGTAACTTCTTGTAATAGATTTGACCTTTATTGTTGGCTGCTGTTCATACTAAGTTTTTGGTTTCAGAGCTTTTTATTATGTTTTTAATGTTATTGGGATTGCTCTTTGTAACTTAGTGTGGTGGTTTTTTTTTTGTTTGGATTATTTTTCTTACAGTTTAATCAGGATAGAATTTATTAGAATTCTAAAGTAGATTAATTGTATTAAGGTGATGAACCAGCTATAACTTTAAGACAACCATCATTAAATTTGTTTATAATTTCTAACTCACCTGTTAACATGAAATTTGATGTAACTATGGAAAAATATGAAGGAGTGATTGTCCATCACCTTCAAACCGACTTTTACTTTATATGAGGCTTTCTGTACTGTTAGAAGGACCGTCAATTTCCTTAAGTTTAATCAAATGATTAAGCACTTACATACTTTTTAAATACATGTATTGCAGAGATTCTCCTTGGTTTGTTTTTAATAATTTATTGCTGTTAAGGATGTTGTATTTATTTTTTATACACTGTAGCTGTCAGGTGCTTCTCTTCTGTATTAAAGTTCCAATGGTTTACTTTGGGGTTTTGTTTGTTTGTTTATTTGTATCCATGTATAAAGATACACATCTTTATTCTTTGTGCCTGTTCTTTTCTTTCATTCTTCAGAAATCCCTCTCTGTGGGTACCTTTACAACCTTGTAATTTTAGGTGCATGGGAGACTTGTGCATCAGGCTGTTTGGACTGTATAAGAAATGTATTTTAAAGGGATGGAACCAAAAGGCCTAGGGGAAAGAAAACTGAGAAAAACAGCTTCTCTTCAGTTTATAAGTAATTGAGTAATAAAATTTCTACGGACCAGATAAGGCATTCTTTTTTTTTTCCTCCACAAATATTGAGATTTAAAATTTTTTTCAAGCATCAGTATTCAAGAAAGCTTTTGAAGTTTAAGTCCATTCATGGCAGCATTGCTCAAGGACTAGAACTGAGCTAGCAGCACAGGTCTGAGGATTTCTTCTTTAATCTGTGCAATAACCCATTAGAATAGTTTAATTTTCTTCATGTCAGTTTCGTCTCTTTAAAGTAGAAGTACAAGCATGAGCCCCTCTTTTTTTGAGATGAATGAGATAGATACAGAAAGTCTTAAATTCTCTCAATAAATAAATTCAGTGGAAATACAATGAAGTCTCATTTTTGCTGTAGATCTATTGTATTAAATGCTATTACTTATAAATGAATCACATAGTCTCCCTACTTCATGGTTAAAGAACTAAGTGTTATAAGGATAATTTTCTACATCTGTGAGCTTTTGGGTTCCTAGAAACTGGTTTAGTCTGTCTTTTTAATCTTTTAAAGAATAAATAGCAATAGTATAGATGTATCATTCAGAATTTAAAATTTAGGGGGTTGGTTGACAGTGTTCAAAGAGCTTTAAAGCATCTTTCTCTGTGATAGGAAAATATAAATTCTAGGTTCTTAATGATTAATTGTGTTGCTATGTGTTTTGATATCTTTTATTTTTATGAAAGCCTAATTTTAATGAATAAAATATTGATGTTATTTCTGCATGAATGCATATATTTAATAATTAAATGAATTACTGCATTATATGTACATATTTCTGCATATTTTGTGTATATGATTTTGCTAAAATAACTTGAGTTTATTTTACCTGTTTTTATTAATGTTTTGCTATTCTTTTATAGTCACTTCAGCTTTAATTTTAAGATTAATTTCTTTGTAATTATTTTTCAGGGAACCCATATTGAGCTGTCTATCGGAATTATTTTGGGAATTTCAACTATGGCAGGTATTTAATAATAGTAATGTTATTATTCCATTGTCTGTATTTTTATAGAACTTTTTAGTAGTTGGGTTTAGAAGAGGATAATTTATATGAATGAGTTTACTCATTGAAATGTCTAGTAGTTTATCTCCTATATCCTAGTCCTCTATTTCTTGATTTTGTATATGAAGCACTTTTTTTCTGGGAAATGTTAGGTACTTTGTTAGATAATGGGTAACACTAATCTATGTTAACTATGTTAAAGGTTTTTCTTGATTCAGTGTTACCCTACACACTTTCTACCCTTTATCGCTATTAAATTATTTATTTTTAAGTTGGGTAGAAAAATGAAAGAAGGAAATACAAGATGGAAAATCTAATTTGGTTCTTTCTCTTTCTTCCCCTCCAGTTAACACTGTACTTCATGATGGTGAAATTTGGGGATGGTTCTGTGTTGTACTTATTGTATAGAACACATGAAATAGATGAGTTAATGAAAGAGACATTTCTTGATTTTCTTGAATTTTAGAGCTGTACATATGGCTTTACTCTTTTATCTTCTGAATATACAAATTCCCTTAAACATATTATCTGAAAGTTACAACTGCAAAATATTGTACAGGTGTTTTAATATTGAAGCCAAAATGGAAACTGACTTCCACAATAGGAAAAGCCTGCTACTTGGTGGAAGTAGAATGCTATAATCTCAGAAACATTGTGTACTATTTTGAAATCTTGAGATTCAGAGCTACTTTGGATATAATTATAATTTGAGAAATGTGGTAACTCTTCTAGACCAGTGCTTTATTGATTACATACTGAGATATTATAATGATTTTTCTGACTTCCATATAACAATTCACCTGTCCATTTTTCACTTTTTTAGCTGCTGCTTTGGGAAATCTTGTGTCAGATTTAGCTGGACTTGGGTAGGTTCATTCATTTATTCATTTGTGCATGTGTGTACTTACATGCTCTTTCTCTTCATTCTCCATTAATTGAGAAGGCTAAAAAAAGGGACATTTATTTTGTGTATATTTTAGAACTAAATTTAAAAATTCAATATTTCTAAATCGGTAGTACTAAATGTTTGGTGTGTATCAAAGATAGATGCCTGGGTCATACCCTCATGCAGAATTAGTGTTTCTGGACATGGGGCCCTGACAGTCATGTTTAATAATCTTCTCAAGCACAAAATTTTTCTAAAACTACTGTAACATAAGCAGAGTTAAGTATTTGTATATATTTTATAGACATTTCCAAGGGTCAGGCAGGATTAAAAGTAAGAACCCCTATTATTATTATTCCACCCCACTCTCCTCCCACTAAGCCCAAATATAAGAAGAGATATGGCTCAAATGTGAAGATACTGAATAGGCATGTTTTCCAGATAGAGGGACTTTCAAAGAGAATAATGGCTAAGCATACATGTGTTTGGCCAGTTTTTGTTCTTTTTACTCCATGTGGCAGGAATGATGAAACAAACTGAGAATGCCTCAGTTTTCTAAGTGAAAAAGCCAGTTTTCTCTCTTTCTATTTTTACATTCTCTCTTTCAAGCGGCAGATAGCCTGGGCTCCTTCCTGAGGTTGAATAAGCCTGAGAAGTATAAATTAGACTAAGTTGGCATTAATTATTGTGATAAACATATTCTGTCTTGATCAGTCTTTGGTTTTGTTTCTCCCTTCCTTGCTTCATTGGAGCAGTAAGTTTTGAGATTTGGATTTGAGTCTAATAGAAGCCTACTTTAGCTCTATAATCTAGGCAAAATCAGCTTTGTAAATGATCTAACCCTATATATTAGACTTCTGTACTGGAGTTGGGGCCAAAGCTACTATTAAAAAACAAAGTTTCTTTGCTTCTGGGCCAAAGCAGAAATGTAATATTCCTGAAATTCCTGGCATAAATCTATAATCATATCACCCCTTAAATATTCCATTTCCCAGCTACCAATATTAAGGTTAATAATCGTATAGCTACTGTGATAACAATTTTTATATATTTTTTTATTTAAATTTTATATTTAATAGAGCCAAATGATCTAATAGATTTTAAGGCCATTTAGTTTTAAATTGCATCATAAAAGAATTATGTTGGATTAGAGATAGAGATTTTGTTGGGAGTGTTTATGTTTAAGAACTGTTTATTCTCTGCCTTTTAAAAAATTTTATTAAATAACAAATACCACAATTTGTCAATTCTTAGATGTACAGTTTTTTTAGACAACATATCTGACATTGGGATCCATATTATAATTGATAGTATACATAGTTTTAGTTGGCAGTTTTTTCTTTCTTACAATTCATAAAGATTGTATCCAGTAGGTGATGGTAACTTAGAATTGGTAAATGCTTGAGATTGCCCTGAAAATTCTAGGCTGTTTTTCTTATTATATCAATCTGATAAATTTTGGAAATTTATTAGTTTATGTCATATGTTAAAGTGCTTTACTTTGAATTTAAAATAAGTTCATGAATTATAATTGTTACAAAAGAGTTATATATACCTTGAATTTTTTTTTAAGTAATAGTAGAGAATAATTTCTGTAAGTCAGTTAACTTACCTATATATTAAATATATTAATATGAAAATAGTTTTAAGCTGGATATATTTATACACAATAAAAAATAAAAGTTGTAAAAAAATGTTTATACCATTTCTAGAGTGCCAATTACAGGTGTAAGATTATCTTGTTTCTCTCTGAAGTAATTAGTGTTTTACTCATAGTAATGAGGACATTTTTATGTCTCTTTAAAAACTTACGTTCTGTCCTCATGTATTTTTAAAGACTTGCAGGCTACGTTGAAGCTTTGGCTTCCAGGTTAGGCCTGTCAATTCCTGATCTCACGCCAAAGCAAGTCGACATGTGGCAAACACGTGTTAGTACACATTTGGTAAGTACTTTATATGGTTTACGATAATGACTTCAGGTAGCCAGAGCATGACACTGTATAGTTCAGTCCCTTGAGAAATTTGAGATTAAAATTGATTTGAGTGGAGTTTTTAACAAAATTTATCAAAGCCTTGCAGTTTTCAGAGGAAGAATAAATTTTTTTATTGACTTATTTTTTATAGGTGTACTTGATTTTTTAAAAATTCTTTATATGATTCAGTTAACCTTGAGGAGTATCAGTTATGTGCTAGACATAAAATGAATGATAAACTATAGTTCTTTTTAGGTTTAGTCAAGAACCAGACAATTCAACAGATTATACTTTAGTGTGACATGTGCAGTAAAAGAATTGTGCACTGTGATATGCATTGCAGCAATAGCACAAGTAACAGAATTAACAACATTTTGTGGGGAGAAATTTGCTTTTGATGGGGAGATCTCTTGGCAATTATGAGATCTAAGCTGATTTTTAAAGTATTGGTCTGACATTTACTAGGTGAACAGGAGAATTCCAAGTATATTGACTAGTAAATAGAAAGGCATGATAAAAACGGTGCATTCAGAGAAATACAAGAAATTAGGTATTGCTGGGTGTGATATGTAGTAGTTGTGGACAGAAGCCATGGTAGAAAACAGCATTGGAGAAGGAAGAATGGATCAAACAGCACAGGCATCTTCCTGTTTACGTATAAACTGTGCTAAGGAGCTTGAACCCATACCTAGGTGATGGGGTGCTAGTGGATTTTAAATAGGAAGGAAACTGGATGGATCACAACGTCACCAATGAAGTTAAGAAAAAAAGGAGGAAGAACACATTTGTAAAGGAAGAGAATGAGTTCTGTTTTGGACATGTTGAATTTGAGATGCTAGTAGCACATTCAAGGGGTGACACCTAGTAGGTGTTTGGATTCAAGGTCAAGGGTTGTTAGAGAGGTCTGAATTAGAGATGATGGGTGTTATCAGTCATTCATTCAACAGATATTTATTGTTAACCTACTATACCCAGGGTACAGACCTAGGAGTTTTTAATATGTTGGTCCACAAAACAAGATCTTTTTTCTGGTGGATCTTACTTTTTAGCAGGGGGGAGAAAGACAACTAAAAAATATGACAAATAAAATATTTAGTATGTTAGAATTTCACAAGTGTTATGGGAATTAAAGAAAAAAAGAAAGCCAAGCAGGGTAAAAAAGGTTGGGTGTGCTAAATGGAGACAGATTGCAGCATGAAGTAAGAGGGCCACTGCAGGCCTCACTTGAAGAGGTCGGTGATAGTTAAGACAGGGGGAGAAGGTGATTGTATAGGGCAGTGGTTCTCAAGGTGTGATGCCAGGACCAGCAGAATCAGCTCTGCCTCGGGGCTCGGTAGAAATGCAAATTCTCAGGCTCCACCTTAGACCTGTCTTTTGCTGTATGAAAAACTATATATGTGTGTGTCCATATCCTGCAATTTGTAGATAAATTAAAGTGAGACTAGCTAGCTAATATCAGCGAGAGTTGTTGAGGAATAAGGGTATTCTAATATTCTAGCAGTTTGGCTTAACATTTTAACACTGTAGTTGGGATCGAGAGATTATTTTCCTGGGGTCTCCTTTTCTCACATAATCGATAATTCTGTTTTCTTTCTATATTATAAGCAGGTCCATTTCCCCTCTTCTATGACAAAAGCACCTCAATTAGTAACCTGACTTTGTGTGTGTGTGTGTTTTTGTGTGTAAAATGCCCCCAAGCACATGGATTCTATTCCTTAGTTGCTGATTCCCCTTGTTTTCTGTGAGGATCAAATCTTCTACTCTGTAACATAGCATTTGGTTATAAACAACCTGAAGTAGTTGAAATTAGTGACCAGCCATCTAGCTATTGATACACGCTAACTCTGAAATTCACCCGTAATAGAATATATGCTAATACACATGCAGGTTCTAGCTTACGTAGGTTGTATTTTAAAACATCATTTGCAGTTCGATTGTTTGAAACTGAAAATCTTTTCTTGCAGAACAGCATTACAGATGTACTCAGGTTCCCAGGTTAGCCCGAATGTAGTTAACTATAGGGCCTAGAGGATCATAAGACCTGATGATAATGTATAAGTAACTGTTTTTACAATGGAAAAATGTTTCAGGTCCTGGGTGAGGGAGCCAGGAAAGGGTATCTCACTTCTTTCCTACTTCTCTGATCTGCTGACTTTATGTGCCCTTGAAATAGTCTGGTCAGAGCTCATTGAGGGCTTTCTTGAAGCGAGGGGGGAGGAAAATCGTGGTTTCCATGGATGATAGTAACAGGCATGCTAACAGAATGGGTGGGAAGGGGAAGAGGGGTCTATCAGCAATTGTCATTTCATATAGAAGGGGAAGTCAGGAATCTAACACAGAATATACTTTCCCTAGGTTATACCAGGGGTGCCAAAAAAAAGAATACACATTTTAAGAGATGTTATCGATGCTCAAGCAGTAGCTCGCTGTAATCAGAAGTGTCTGGATGCTGATGGTAACCACTTTGAGTACCTCTTGTAATTACAGAAGTCAAACATGACTTGTATTAATCTTTTGTTATCGGTATATATTGAGTATTACAATTTTAATAGTTTTTTCCTTTCTTAAAATGTGTATACATTTATTTTGGCACCCTCTGTATAAGTAAATACAAATGTTATCGAAGGTCAAAATATGAATCTGGGTAAGCTTTTTCTTTCCTGCCTTCCTATCTCTGACATTAAAATATGTACAATTTAAAAAAGTGTTTTTCTACTTGAATATTTCTTCGATGTTATTTTTATGACAATTTTATAAAAAAAATTTTTTTCTGGTTGCTTTGAACTTTAAATACCACTTGTTCTAGGACGTTTTTGTAGCTTATTTTTATGTTTAAGTTACTATGACAAAAATAAAAAATGCAGTCACAGTTGAATTTTGTAGTGTGTAGTAATTGTTTATCATAGATACTTAAGCAAGGATTCCTTTTACAAGGATAAAATAACTTTCCACAAAATGTTTTCTTTTGTTTCCTTAGGGCAAAGCTGTTGGGGTGACGATTGGCTGCATTCTAGGAATGTTTCCTTTGTTTTTCTTGGGAGTAGGTGAAGAAGATGAAAAACTGGAAAAGGAAAATTAACCCTCTTAGAGTACCTATAAAAAGATGTAAACTAATGTACCTCAATTATTAAATATTCTGTCACAACATTTAGGAATTAAGACAGTAACAGTGTATAGATATGGGATCAAATAATTCAGCATGTATTATGGAAAACACTAACTTATTGTGGCTTGGTTTTCATAGGACATCTTTTTTAAAAAACTATTCAGTATCATTTCATGTAAATTGTTGAAATGCTTTTTCATCAGCGGCAGTCAACATTTTACCTTTTCCTTGTCTTTCTTTATATATCAAAATATCATTTAAGTATCAGTCATTGGTGTAATGTACTGACTTGGCATTTGCTTATTTGTTACTTAACATGTGTACATGCATGAAACCATTTTTGGTTGTTCCCTGTAGTTACAAGTCAACCTGATGATTTTTCCAAATTACTTAAGATGTTTAATATCAGTTGAAGATTTTTTTTACTCTCTTTTTGGCAACCTCAGTTTTATACTATTTCACAGTAAACATTCACAATTATATAATTTCCATCATTTTTTAACTCCTACATCTATTCAAAATGGATGCAAACTTTAAATATTTTACGTTTTTATTACTCATTGTAATTTTCTGATCCTACTGTCTCAAGAACCAGAAGTTAGTCAGAATGAACAATTATGTGGTATCCCTACTACATAAAACTATATATGTTAAGTGTATTATTTCTAATTGATTTTTTTTTACTTTTAATTTCTCAATTTTAAATAATTACATGATGGTTTCTGACTCCTGAGAGGAAAAAAATGATTATTTTAGGGTATTTTTAATGGGGATTGTGGAATTAGGGTGAGCTAAGGGGTTTGACATGACACTTAGAAATTAAGAGGCTCAAAAACATTTCTTCTTAGAGAAATAGAAAACGGGAACTGTCAAGAAGGTTTATGGTATAAGTGGTCAAGTTGAAATGATGTTTGTAAGGGTTAATGAGATTCAAATTATATTGTTTGAGAAAGATATTTTCCCCAAAAGTTTCTTTTCCTCTAATTGAATGAGTACTTGATACTCATAATCCTAATGTTGTTGTATCTTGTTTAGTGAATTTTATTTCTGGACAGCTTCTTTTGAGGTGAAAACTAAATATTTATATTTTGCTTTTTGCTATATATAGTCTAGTCAAAAGTTACATGAGTTGAAATTTTTTCTCCATTTTTTGGTTATTTTTCTTCTTTTGTGGTGTTTAAATCATACTCTAGGTTGCAGTTACTCATTTGTAGTCTTGTATATCTGACTTAAATATAACCATGTATAAATCATAAATTTTAATTTTGTGAACCCTTAGAGTTTGTTAGCATGTGGCCTGTTACGCGTGCTAGAAAATTACTCTTACTCTTGAGAGTAATTAAACACATCATGGAGGAGAAAAACTGAAATTAAAATTATTATTTGGGCCACTGAAATTATTTATGTTGGTAAATAGATGCAAAAGAAGGGAAATTTATAAGATGGCCATATTGACAGCTATCTTACTTTAAAGTTTTATTTGCATATATTTACTTTGAGCCCTTGTTTTCAGAGGAGCGGTTTTTTTCCCCACAAGGCAATTTGTCATAAATTCTCTTCTGTGCACTTTAAAATAATTTAGTGCTATCCTTTAATCATAGATAATTTTGAGGGAAAACATAAATTACACAATATAAAAATAAATATGTACCATTCTTATTATGTGCAAGTAATGTGACAGTCTCATTTGATCAAATTAGAATTATAGAACTCGATATCTTAAACGGAAGTGTGGTTTGTATCTTCCACATAATACCATACACACACCAATTTTTTAATTATTATTATTTCAGATGAGAGGATTAGAGTGCTTATTAAAAAAAATTTTTTTTGGTAAATGTTTACGTGCTTTTGTCCCTAACTTGTATATTGCCGGTCTTTTCTGTTTTCTAAAAAAGCATTTTATTGTGGTGCTTAAACTTTCTTCTTATTAATTAAATCGCATATCCAGAAACCTTGCCTATGAGTTTAGAAAGGGCTTTTGATTATTGGCTGCTTTTTTTTTTGCTGTTGAAAATAACCCAGTCCTACAGAATCTTTTAGTTTAGCTGACGTCTACAGAATTATTAAGGGTGTTAAAACATGACACATAACATTAATATTGAAAGATATTTTATGGATACAATAAAAATTTGCATCATTCAGGTTAGTACTTTTCAAAAACTGGAGCCCTTTTGTCCTTAATCTAAGGCACACATTTTTTCAAGATCTTATTCTCTACATTAGTATAATGCTTTGCACAAAGTGATTTCTGAAAAAACAGTTCCTTTTAAAATAATTACTTCATATAATCATTCATTGTTTTATGTAACTTGTCACAAGAACCTTATTTCAGATTGAAACTGGAATTCTTATTTCTTGTATCAGCTACTTCTTTATTATGAGCACTATAACTGGTTAAATGCAACATGAGCTTTTTTAGTACCGTTTGTTTGAAATTCATGTTGTCCATGTATTATGATTTATTGACTTGTTGATGCATGTAAATTGGGTGCATTTTGTTGCCACTGTATGTTAAATGGTGACCAATGTTTTTACAAAAGAATTGAACAACAACAAAAAAAATCTTTTAAGAAATTTGGAATGTGGTTTTGATTTTGAAATTTGATGTTTTTCCTGACCTCAGACCACCCTGGATATTGTGTTGCTGAAGGAAATAGGATTAATAGATGCAGATTCGTTACAGGGCTGTACCAATGTCCCTGAGACAGTAACATGGAACAATTGACCAACTCACTGAAACCCACACTTGAGATACAACATTACAGACTAGGAGAGAGGAATGAACCCATATTGAGGTACTTTGATCTTTAACAGGATGTCAAAAAAGCTTGAGATAGAGGGATTGGCATACATCACACTGATGGGGTTCACCACAGAGGCACCCAAGCCTTCTGTGTAATATCCCCTCATTTACTTTGCTCTTTCTCTGGAAGGGAACTTTGAAGGTACTGGAAGTTTATCTTTTACAACAAAAGTTTGTCTAAACCATTTTGCAGGAAATCTAATTTTAGAATTACATTTTCTTGCCATCTAAAAGAGTGTATTAAATGTAATGGAATCTTTTTCTTAGTAGCTAAACATCATCTTCGTGGACATAATTATTGTGCTGTAATGCAGTAGTACCTCGGGCATCTGGTTTTTATAGTTTTTCATTTTCCTCCCATTTTTTTTACTGCTCTCACTTCTGGCAACTGCTTTGTCTCTCTAATTCGCTGCTTCTCAGTTGTATGCACTTGGAAACTAGCTTGCCAGTTTTACCATAAATTACTTGGGAGAGATTAATAAATTGGCTATGGGGTCTGAGTGAGATGATGATGATAAATATAATGTTAGATCCCTTTTATTAAGCACTCATTTTTTGTGATATTTTACACACATTATCATAATTTAATCACTGTAGTGACAACGTTAAGTTGCTGCTGTTATTACTCCTATTTCATATTGGGTAAATTGGGACATGGAGAGGTTAATTTGCCCACGATGTCACTACTAATAAGTGTACTGGAATCCAGCTTTGTCCACGTGCAAAGCTTATGTTCTTAACCACTATGCGATTGGGACATCAGCTGCATGGACTTCGTAACATCTATTCTTTGCTTAGTTCCTTTTTACTTCTACATCTATGGAGTCATTTTCTCATCTATAACTGAAGGGAATCGTACTTACAGCCTTAAAGTACACTGAACAAATCCTGCATTTTGGGTTGCACCCTGTGTGCTAGGAACTGTTCAGAACCTCCCCATTCTCATGAAGCTCATTCTGTGGGAGCCATTACTGGGGAGGAGAATACAGAAAAGGGAGTATACATTTAAATGTATTTTGTGCCAGAGGGTGATAAGTTCTACAGAGATAAATGAAATAAGATAAGGGGGGTAGAAAGTACTGGTGGTCGTATATGGGGGGTTATTTTTATACACGGTGGTCAGGGAAGACTGGAAAGTAGTGAGCGCATAAACAGTACAGATAACTGTGAAGAGAAGGTGTCATGTTAGGTTCTAGAAAGTTGGTGTTAAGAAAATCTTCGACATATGAAATATATTTCCCTTTGCAATGCGTTGTAAGATGTTTCCTTATTTTCTTGCATTAATGTTTTGTAGATTGAGCCTAAGATTAATTTTTAAATACTAAGATTAATATCCCTGCATATTTACCAGCAGCAGTAGAGGGAAATGGCCCAGCAGCCTGGGGAAGCTCCCCTGGAATTCATCAAATTAGTCGATAATCCCTCAGCGAATCATTTAAGGTTTGTTGGTACTCATAATGAACCCTTAGTAACAGATCGCTTGTTTTTACCAAAGCAATGAATGCTACTGGTGTATGAGTTGTAACACTGAAATTAGTTTTTTTCTCCTCGAAGTTTTAGAACAGGAATAGTAATGAAATCGGGGGAAATTTTAATTTTGGAGTTTCAGGACGTTCAGGGTCTGCTGATCTTAGGCTGACAGCCGTATGAAGCACACTGTATTTTGTATTGGTTTTTATAGCACCAAGTTACAACTTGTTTTTCTTGTGATGAGAACTTTAAGATGTACTTTCTTATCAACTTTCAAATTTGCCATATAATATTGACTATAGTCACCATGCTGTACATTACATCCCTATGATTTATTTATTTTGTAACTGCAAGTTTGTGCCTCTTAATCCCCTTTACCCACTGCCCACCCCAGTCCCTCTGGCAACCACCAATCTTTTCTGTATCTATGAGATTGATTTTGTTTATTGGTTTCTTTGGGGGTTTTTTATTCCATGTATAAGTGAAATCATATAGTATTTGTCTTTCTCTGTCTGACTTATTAAACTTAGTATAATACCCTCAAAGTTCCATCCATGTTGTCGCAAATGGCAAGATTTCATTCTTTTTTATGGATGAGTAGTATTCCATTGTACTTATATGCATACACCACATCTTCTTTATCCAGTCATCCATCGAAGGACACTTTGTTTCCATATCTTGGCTATTGTGAACAATGCTGCAATGAACAGAGGTGTGTATATCTTTTCGAATTAGCGTTTCCATTTTCTTTGGATACATACTCAGAAGTGGAAATGCTGGGACATATGGTAGTTCTATTTTTAATTTTTTGAGGAACCTCTGTACTGTTTCCCATAGTGGCTGCACCAGTTTACAAGCCTACCAACAGTTCATGATGGTTCCTTTTTCCACCTCCTTGTCGAGACTTACTATTTCTTGTCTTTTTGATACTAGCTGTTCTGACAAGTGTGAAGTGATATTTCACTGTGGTTTTGATTTGCATTTCCCTGATGATTAGTGATATAGAGCATCTTTTCGTGTGCTTGTTGGGCATCTGTAGGTTTCTTTGGAAAAATGTCTATTTAAATCTTCTGCCCATTTTTTAATTGGATTGTTTGGGGTTTTTTTTTGTTATCGAGTTGTACTAGTTCTTTATACTTTGGATATTGACCCCCTTATCAGATTGTGATTTGCAAATACCTTCTCCCATTCAGTAAGCTTTGCGTTTTTGTTTTGTTGATCATTTCCTTCCCTGTGCAGAAGCTTTTTAGTTTGATATAGGCCCATCTGTTTATTTTTTTCCTTTATTGCCCTGCCTTTTGGAATCAGGTCCATAAAAACATTGCTAAAACCAATGTCGTTGGGCAGGGGGCCTACCGCCTTTGTTTTCTTTGAGGAGTTTTATGGTTTCAGGTCTTACATTCAGTTCTTTTATCTGTTTTGAGTTAATTTTTGTGGATGGTGTAAAATAGTGGTCCAATTTCATTATTTTGCATGTACCTGTCCAGTTTTCCTAACATCGTTTTTTGAAGAGACAGTTGTTAACACTATATTCTTGTCTCCTTTGTCGTAAATTAGTAGACCATATATGGATGGGTTTATTTCTGGACACTCTCTTCTGTTCCATTGATCTATGCATCTAGTTTTATGCCATTACCATACTATTTTGATTACTGTAGCTTTGTAATATAGTTTAAAATCAGGGAGCGTGACACCTCCAGCTTTGTTCTTCTTTTGCAAGATTGTTTTGGCTATTCAGGGTCTTTTGTTGTCCCATACAAATTTTAGGGTGGTTCTGTTGCTGTGAAAAATGCCATTGGAATTTTGATAGGGATTCCATTGAATCTATAGATTGCTTTAGGTAATATGGACATTTTAAGAATATTAATTCTTACAATCCATGAGAACGGAACATCTTTATTTGTGTCTTGTTCAATTTTTTTCATCAATGTCTTGTAGTTTTTAGTATACAGGTTTTTCTCATTCCTGGTTACATTTATTCCTAGGTATGTTATTCTTTTTGATACAATTGTGGATGGGATTGTTTTCTTAATTTCTCTTTCTGATAGCTCATTGTTAGTGTATACAAACACAACAGATTTTTGTATATTGATTTTGTACCCTGCAACTTTACTGACTTCATTTATTCTAACGGTATTTTTCTTTTTGTAGGATCTTGAGGGTTTTCTGTTATAAAATCATGTCCTCAAATAATGACAGTTTTACTTCTTCTTTTCCAATTTGGATGCCCCTCCCCCTTTTCCTGCTAACTTGTTCTGGCTAGGACTTTCAATACTATGTCGAATAAAAGTGGCAAGAGTGGGCATCCTTGTCTTGTTTCTCATCTTAAAGGAAAAGCTTTCAGCTTTTTTTTCCTCTCTTGCACCTTCCCTTGGTCAAGACCAGTTACAAAACCAGCCGAAATTTAAGGAGATGGCAGAGTTGACTCCACCCTCCTGATGTGAGGAATGGCAATGCCATGTTGCAAAGGGCATAGACACAGGGAGGCATTATCTATTGGGGACATAATAACCTATCCTTCTGGATTATGCCTGGTCGTGGGAATTTTTTGTACCCATATGCCTTCTGTTATATCCTAATAGAAGGTAGGAATCATATCTGATTCATCTTTGTATTTCACGTTGTAACTGCACACCATGTAATAAGTGTTGAATTTTTCCTGGGTGATAAGAGACGTAAAAGGTAAGACAGAAAAAAACTAAAATACACCCTTGTAGTGGTGGGGTAGAAAAGATATATTTCAAAGCATTTAAAATCATAAACTCCAGAGCAGGAAAAAGCAAATAACAACTATCGGTGCACCATCTGAATGTCTTCGTAATTATAGCATTTTTATAGCAAACTAGATAAGAGCAATGCAATTCCCAATTTTATAGGTGAGAGAGTTGCGAAGCTGTGTAAGTATCTAGCCCTTTATTTAAATACAACTGTGTGGATTCCAAATTCTAGGCTCTTTTTTTTTTCCTTCAAATTTTATAGGATCGCATTATGTCAGGCAATTGGAGAAGAAAGGTGGCCAACTTAGGGGTTTTAAATTTACAAAGTGAATATTCTGGTGGTTGGTACAATGATTGCCATATTTATATTTCCCTATGTAGAAAACCAAAGATCTTAGAACAACAATACTTAAGGTAATTACACTTTCCTTGCTTATTTGCAATCCTTTCTATTTCCAAGCACTTCGATTTTAAGAGAAAAAGAGTGTTGTAGGGCAGCTCTGCCAAAAGCTTAGCCGAATTCTTTAGTCTTTCCTAAAAAATGCAGCCAATGTTTTGCCTATCTGCTATTAACACATTACCGTTGGCATG